TGTCAGAAAATTCGAGAATTTTTCCAAAACAGAAATTATGATTTTTTTTCTAATGTTAAATGTAATTTCGTCGGGCAGTAAAACATTGGAAATGTTTTTGGGTACATTTTGGGGTTTTGACAATTTTGATATTATAAAAAATTGAAAGGAAAAAACATAAAAAACTAATTTCTTTTAATTTTTTCAAAACTTTTCAGTGGTCGCCGTTGCCACGATCTCAATTTTCGAAAACCGCTTCTTTCTCCTTTTTGCTGAAAACTCCTGGTGGCGTCATGGTCGAAAATTCTTCTATCTCATCAATTATTCACTTGCCCTTCTTTATTTTCTACCTACCGTACTCCTAGTCCCCGATCAGGACCTCGCAAGAAAGGAAGTCTTCAAAATGTACCCAAAAGTGGTCCATTTTCACACTCCGGACCATCCAATCTATGTGGTTGCGTATGATTGGGAAATTCGAGAATGGATTGGGTATCGACAGTTGATTAGTTTGGGTACTGTAATTGTGGAAGGGTCCACTTTTTTGTTCTTGTTGCATTTCAATATCTGGTGGTCCACCAAGAGAATGACAATGTCACAAAATACATTGGGGATGCAGAGGAGGTTCTTGAAAGCTGTTTACATGCAGGTAGGACCTTAAATTTCGAAGAATGAGATTTTCAAAAACAAGAAAAACTAGCCGTGTTTCAACTCATTAGAATTGTCTCGTTTTGCTGATTCCAAAAATATAGATGTTAAAGGTAGGGAACTATTGTGAGCCGAGGTGTGAAGCAGCATAAGGATAAGCAGCGCGCATCATCGTTGTCTGCGTCTCTCTTGCCGCACACAGGAGATACACGCAGACAACGAGGGCGCGCGCTGCACCTCTCCAAATTGCTCCATATCTCTGTTCACAAAGGTCCAGTTTTCACAAAAACTATATATTTAGAATTAGCAAAACACGACGATTCGAATGACTATAAACACGACCAAATTTATATTCTGAAAAAAATTGCAGATCGCCATTCCCGCTACCATCATGATTGTCCCTCAAATTATAATGATCCTACTGGGATATTTATACCTAAACACCACGGAAATGAACAGTATCGCCTATATGCTAATGGCCATACATGGTGCATCCGCTACACTCATCATGCTTTACTTCCATGCTCCTTATAGGGATTTTTGTGGCAAATTATTTTGTCGAAACACCAAAAAAGTTGAAGTCAAACATATAAGTACTAGTGGGACGGAAGTTTGTCAATTGTGAAATTTTTAAATGTTTTTTGAAGTTTTGTGAATGAAGTATGATATTTTGAATGCAAATAATAACACATAAAGTTTCAAGTGCACACAATTCTGAAAAATCATTCAATTTACAAAAATCATGAAAATCGTGAAAAAGGTCAAAAATGATAAATAGTCTCAGCGTATTTTTTGTGTGTCGGCCCATTTTTTGTGCCTCGATCCCGTTTTTAATTTATTGGTGCTTTTTCTATTCATTTGCACGATCTTGGTCTTTTTGCGCGTTTTCCGTGTTTTGGCGCATTTCCCGTGCCTTGACGCTTTTTCGGTGTCTTGACACATTCTCCGTGCATTGGCGCATTTTGAGCGCATTGGCGTTTTCAGTTTTTGACATAATTCCAGGGATCTGACGCATTTCCTATGTATTGACACATTTCTCGTGCCTTGATGCAATTCTAGTGCCTCCACTCGTTTTCAGTGCATTGACGCATTTTCTGTTCCTTGACGTATTTTCCATGCCTTGGCGCATTTCCCGTTCCTTAAAGCGATTTCCGTGTCTTGACGTGTTTCCCGTGCCTTAGCGCATTTTAGTCGAAAATTACTCACATTGGTCCCATTGCAGTTATTTTTCTGGTACGTTTTTTCTTCTGACTTTTCCGAATCCATTCACCCAAAATCCCACTGTCGCATACTTTGAAACCCCAAAACTGCGCCAACGACACGAGAAATGCGCTAACGATCCAAACTACATCCATTTTTCAACATCTAACATTACATTTTCCGCCCAGACTCATCATTGTTTGATTTTTCCGAATGTTCAATGTTCCCATAAAACATAATAATTTTTCCGTCTCCATGGATTCTCCGATTTCCCGAAAATTGATGTATTTCCCTTTTTCCATTTTTTCTATTCATTTTTATATTATGAAAATCACAAGATGAATTTCCCCTGTTTTCTTCTCATCTTCCTGTTTATTTTCAGAAATACAGTAAGAAATATTTTGATTTTTCACTTTAAAAAGCAGTAATTCCAGTCCTCTGACCCTTACAAAATGGTCGTAGTTTCTGGAAAACCTCAAAATTCGCCGCTATTCCAATCAATGAAATTTGATTTCTCCACTTGTGTGGATTACTGTCTCACTAAGGATAACTGTATGGTAAGTGGTTGCTACAGTAATCCTCTATTTTGATCTGCAGGCAGTGTACTCGAAAAATTTGGCCGTGGAAGATTGTCAGGTTTATTATAATGTACAATTGGATTCGATTGTGGCGATGGATAAAAGTGCTGGAGTCAAAACCGCATTTAAGGTGAGTGAGCGGCACGAGAAATGCGCCAAGGCACAGAAAATGCGCCAAGGAACGAAAAATACGACAAAGCAGCAAAAATGCGTCAATGTTCCGAGAATACGCCAAGCACTGAAAATGCGGCAACGCAGGAAAACAGCTTAAATGAACCGAAATTGCGTCAAAGCACTGAAAATGGGTCGAGGCACCGGAAACGCGTCAATGTACCGGAAATGCGTCAAGACACCAAAAATGTGCTAAGACGCTAAGAATGCGTCAATGCACTGAGAATGTTTCAAAGTACTCAAAACGCGTCAATGCACAGAAAATGCGCTATGAACAAAAATTTATACGTTTTTTCCGTTCCTTGGCGCGATTTATGTGTTTTGATACATTTATGGTTCATTGACGTAAAAACGCGCCAAGACACTGAAAATGCGTCAGCGCACAGAAAACGCGCCAAGGCAAGAAATATGCTTCAAGTCACTGGAAATACACCCATTCGACACATTTAGGTGTCTTCGCTCTGTTCTTGATTTTTTTTTCCATCTTCTGTGCTTCGACACAATTCTCGTGCGTTGGCGCGTTTCTCGTGACTTGGCGCATTTTAAGTATATCCGAGTTCCTCTACGCCTTTTCACTGATGTTATCTTCTTCCATTCCCTTGACGGATTTCGGGTGCATAGACGCGTTTTAGTACCTTGACCCATTTCCCGTGTCTTGACACATTTCTAGTGATTCTATTTTTTAGATCAACGCCACCACAGACTGCCCTACCTACCCTCCTATCCAAAACTTTGTCAGTTTTTTTTCTTTCTGTGTGTCTATTTATCCAAAACTTCGCGTGTTTTTAGACCGGCGGTCAAGGCTTTGGCACATACAAAGTGGTCCTGGCAAACGGGGTCTGGAATTTTACCGAATGGCCAAAATGTACTAACAACTTCAAAATGTTTCTACGGCCCAAAGGAAAATGGTGTATTCGAGTGAGAAGAACTGATTTTCATACATTTTCGTTATCGAATTCGTGTTTCTGAGCTTTGAATTAGCCTAAATCAAAGTTTACAGCTCAAAAATTCGTTATTCGGTGTTTGCGGACTTTTGGAGCTACCGTAACCCGGAAAATTCAAAATTGAGCTGGGAACTTCTAGTTTTTGGGATCCATCACCGAATTTTGTGAGAAAAAAAATGGAAATCAATAATTGAATACTGTATGCGCCTTTAAAGCAACCCTAGACTCATTTTCAGGAAAATTTGCCGCTTAATTTGGGCTTTGAATCCTGAATTTTTTAAACTGAAACAGGTCTGGGCGAGCAATCGGCTTTCGTCGGAAACGAATTGCAAAACACGCGCAAAACGAGATTAAAGGCGCACGCAATTTTGCCGATGTGTCTGGACACGTAAAAAATGGCGTGGAAAATAAATTTTGAATTTTGAACAATTTTATTAAAAATCGCTTTAAAGGTGGGGGGACATGAAAAAAATAATGTTCTCGAAATTCTGTTTAAATATGCCTCTCGAGGAGTTGAACTTGTCGAGGCGAGTATTGAAGGTGCGCCGCTACTGACTGAGCCACGCGGGCGAAACTGGAGCGGGCGCCTGATTGCATACATAAAGGCGAGGACGACCGCAGTACGCAGAGTGACATTAAGCGTTGTACACCGTCACGGTAGAATGCATACTCTGGCCCCAAAAATCCCCCGTAAAATCTCCTGCCCCCCCCCCCCCTTTAAAAATTCAAAGTTTATTTTTTACGTGTCGAGACCCGCCGGCGAAATTGCGTGCGCCTTTAATCTCGTTTTGCAAAACAAGGGCGGAAAATTTGCAAAACGTGACGGTCAATTTTCTCCCTTCCTCGCCCACTCCTGAACTGAAACTTTCCACTTTTTCCAGGTTTTCTTGTTTGCTGATAATCAAAACATAACAACAGCGAAGTTGACTTGTGAAGGCTTTTATCGTGGTAAACTAAGCGGATTGGAGAATGAGGACGAGTTTAATTATGTTCGCGGTAATTATTTAAATTAATTTTAAAAATGAATTATGGATTTTTTACAGAAAGAGGATTATCTTTTGTTACTCTTGAAAATAACCGTCCGAGATTTTCAAAGTATGCGGCAGTGGGATTCTGGGTGAATGGATTCAGGAAAACCACTTGTCAAGAGAAAACGTACTCAAAAAATAAATGTAATGGGACCAATGTAAGTAACTGTTTGCACTGAAAATGCGACAGGGCGCGGAAAATACGTCACGGTACTTGAATTGCGTCAAGGAACAGAACGTTCATGTAGACAATATGATTAGTCGAACCGGCGTATTTCTAGTGCGAAGATACAATATTTGTGGCTTGGTGCGTTTTTCGTAAGTTGATTTTTTCTCTGTGTTGACGCGTTTTTCGTGCTAACACTTGAACTTACTAGAAACACGCCAAGGCACTCTAGTTGTGTCAATTCATGGAAAACATACAAAGGCACGGAAAATGCGCCAAGTCACCGAAAACACGCCAAGGAAATCGTGTCAATACAATACACCCGTCGGTTAAAGAAACGATATGAAATCCGACGACGACAGCAATTCAGTTCAGGGAAACCGTAAGAGAAATTGCTAATAGTGTAAAGTGAACTTAGCCTGATATTGCAGAAGTCATGAAAATAAAACCAGTCACTTCCAAAGAAGGCAATTCTAGTGATGACGGCAAACCTTTGAGAAAAAGTGAGAAAACTGGCTGAAGCTTATAAAATTAACCAATCCCCGTGTTTTAGAAGCCAAAACAAAAGAAGGCACACCGGATGATGAAAGTGATGATGAAAGATCACCACCGGATAATGAACAATCAACAACAATCCGGAAATTGGCCAGGATTAAAGTTGAGGACAAGCCCAAGATTTGCAGCTTTTGCGGCTACGGACACATCCCGGATAGGTGCCCAGTTTTCAGGACGGCAGATGCACGCTGGGAGTGCTTGAGACAACACAGCTTATGCCAAAAATGCCTCTCCTACCAACAACAAAGGCACCAGTGTCCTTCCGGTGTCCTAATCGATTTTGGATGCTACTACTGCAAGGAAGAGGTCCACAACTCAGCACTCTGCAGGATCCCAAAGACTGTGGTCGATACAAAATACTTCATGCCAGGTGGACCCAAAGACTCACGCGAAAGACAACCAACTCCAGATCTGAACATGAACACAGAAAACGACCAATATTATCAATGGGATCGACGTCGCCAACAGGAGCCAATTGATCAACGTCGCCATCGAGAAAGAGACCAAGGACCCTCTATTAACTCTGTTCTTTTTGTACATAAAATTTGAGAAATTTTGGTTTTCAGAAATGAGAAAAAAATTCTTCAAATTTCTACCGTCTTATATGACGAAAAACACTGAAATGTGATAAAAAGAAAAAAACATGCCGCAGAATTGCAAAGTCCTCACGCCGCGGTTCACAGAGGATTTTTTTCGCTTAAGTTTTTTTTTCAGCACTGGCATTTTTAAAAAAATTAAAAATTTAGATAACCGGAAATGAGATTTATGGTGGGGAATATAAGAAGAAAGGTAGATCATTTTATGAAGTATCATTAATTTAGATTTGAGGCGTCTATGACGGATAGAGACAAAATTGAGTAATTTGAGTCTGGACAAATAAGAGGCACCGGGGGGAAGATGAAAAGTATATGTTGTGGCAACTGTCGGAGAATTCGGAGCTTATATTTCGGTGCCACTTTCACCAAAGTCTCCAGAAGAACAAAAGTTTTTCGAAAAGTTTGCCTGTTCCACAGATTTCGTCCAGTTTCGTCTTGCCTTTTTACAATTCAGAAATTTTCTGTATGAATATTTCAGAAATTAATCAAAGTTATAGAAAGTGTTTATTTGATGGATCTGAAAATGATCTTGAATAAAAAAATAGGTGGACAAATTAAAATTGGACAGTTTGCACAGTTGGGAAAGTGGTAGTAGTTTGCTCAAATCCTGGTGACAACTAATCTTCCTGCATTTTGAACTTCTTGATGCTCTGTACCTTCTTTCTTCTACAGGTACAGAATCGGGTTGTCTCCCGATTTTGTACCTCGTGGCACAATTCAAATAATACTTGACCATTTTTTCCTTTAAAAAAGTACAAAATCGGGAGACAAACCGATTCTGTACCTGTAGAAGAAAAGAAGGCACAGAGCATCAAGAAGTTTAAAATGCAGGAAGATTGGTTGTCACCCGGATTTGAGCGAACTACTACCACTGTCCCAACTGTCCACACTGTCCAATTTTAATTTGTCCACCTATTTTTCTGTTCAAGATCATTTTCAGATCCATCAAATAAAAATTTTCTATAACTTTGACTAATTTCTGGAATATTCATAATTTTTGTACAGGAAATTCAGACATCTGGTGAAACTGAAATAAATGCTAAATGGTACATGAAATCATCAATTCGAGCTGTTTCTATACATGCGAAAAAAATTCTTCAAATTTCAACCGTCTTATATAAAAAAAAGTGGATTTGAAAGTTTCAAGATCACAAAAATCAAATCACACCAAATACGTGAATTCTTTTGATTTTTAGTGCAAAAATTTTTCACCATGAATTAGGGGCGCTACCTCGAAATAGAACGTGAGCAAAAAATAGAACTGCACCAAAATAGAACTGCGTGAAAAAGAACTGATCTTTAATTGAACTGTTCTGAATTAGAACTGTTCTTACATAAAACCGTGTGAAATAGAACTGTTCTGAAATGGAATTGGTCTGGAATAGAACTGTTATAAAGGAACATAGAAAAACGAACGTAGAAAAATTTTAAAGGTGGGGGGGGGGGACATGAAAAAAATAATGTTCTCGAAGTTCCGTTCAAAGATGCACCTCGAGGAGTTGAACTTGTGAAGGCGAGGATTGAGGGTGCGGCGCCGCTACCGACTGAGCCACGCGGGCAAAGAGAAAGCGGACGCCCGATTGTATACATAAAGGCGAGGACGACAGCTGTACGCAGAGTGACATTAAGCGTTGTACACCGTGACGGTAAAATGCATACTCTAGCTACAAAAAAACTACGAAAAATCTCCTGTCCCCCCACCTTTAAAAACGGAGATAAAAAATATATTACAAAAAAAGTGGAATTTAAAAAATGGAGAATACGTATCATAATCAACTCTTACAAGGGAACATCTTAAGTAACAAGCGAAAAATCTAGCGAAACCACATCTTTAGGATCAAAATGTTCTTTCTCATTTTAGGTCACTCGTCAAGAACTCAACGAAAATATCTTCTCAATTTCTCTCGAATAGAGTAATCAGAAGTTGAAACTATTTACCCGCTGAAGTGCTTCCGGTGAAGCCCTCGTCAGCGGCATTTGAAAATCGACTATTATCCTGTGACCTAAACCACTTTCTTGTCTTAAATTCAACTAATTACTAACTCGGTTTTTTCTCCATATCCCATTTAATACAAATTTATATCTCTGTTATCTCTTCTAGATTCTTCCCTTCGTGGGAATTAATAAATATTAAAAAAAATCGGCACACTTATTTCTACAGGAAAAAAAAGTTCTCGAGTGATAATTGAACTCTTATTGATCCAAATTGAAATGTTTTGGTTTTTTGTTCAATTCCCAACTAAATACATACAGCAAGAATGACATTGGGTAGAACGATCCTCACCACTGCACCAATCTCTGGGGCATTTCTCATGGGAAGAATTAGCTCTTCACACTTCAATTCGAAATTATTACTGTAATAAAAACTAGAATTATTGTACTTAATCCACCAATGTGTGATACTCGATGTCACCAGTCCACCTAGTTTTTGACTCCGCCCCCTTGAGAATGTTGGTATAAATACGCTCCGGTACCTACGATTAGCATTCATTCTCCCCCTAATTTTTCAGACGACCTTCTGCATGGACGTCGGGAAAATATTCCTATTGAATTTTCTGAATTGTATTCCTTTTTTTTATTCTACTATTTTTAAATGTCAGTGCCACTCCGAATAGCAGATTAATGTCGCTTCAACCAATGTCGGGTGGATCCACGAGCAAACGGTGCATATGCAATTGCACACAATGGAGGACGGTGAGTACATGGTGGAAAATAATAAAAATACATTGTGTTTTACAGCTACGACGTCCTCATGCTTGCTGAACTCCACAGACGAGCAGGAATTCACTGCACGGAGCCAAAAGTCATTCTCAACGGTATGACCATCATCTCGGCAAAGTGCAAGTGCAAGAAACAGAAGCTCTACTACAGAGATTCTATGCAGTTTTTGACGATAGGTTTGGCAAAGGTGCCCGAGGCATTTGAGCTAACTAGAGAAGTGATGGGATTTTTCCCGAGTATCTACAACCATCCAGACAATTATGGACGGGTTTTGGATACCCTACCGTACAAGGAGTACTACAGCCCGGAGTTTTTGAGGCCTGATGTGCGAGAACATTTTTTCAGTTGGAAATTTTTCGATATCTTTCACTGACTCCGAGATAAATTTACTGGAACAAACCGATGTACCACTTCATTAGAAAAATAAACCAAAATCTGTTCTTTGACAAAAAATGATGCAAGTTATTTTCAATTTTATCCGAATACAAAAAAAAACAAAAAAAAGTCAATACGCCGGAATCCTAATTTTCGAAAAATAAATATTCAAGTACTGTAAACGCTCTAATAGAACGCCACGCAGAACGTCCACTTTGAGTCTTTATATCTCCCTTCTTTTGAAAGATATCAAAAAGTTGTCAACTAATAAAGTGTTTATCATGATATCAGCAATATTTTTTTAGTTAATTACTTTTTGATATCATTCGAAGAAAATGAGATACATGGTCTGACGATTCGGGGGACTTCTATTAGAGTGTTTACGGTAATAACCAATCAACCACTGGGATCGATTCTCGAAGTCTGCTTGCATCGAATTTCTGATTTTATTGATTTCCATAAATCAAAAACATTTTTCCGATTACACAAAAGATATGTAATTTGAGCAGTTATTGACATAAACAAAGCGGTGGTAAGTTTAAAGAAAATTAAGTCCTGAAAAAATTTTGAAAACTTTGACCCAATTTTTCTTTGTTTTTATCAAAGATAACACAAATAGATCAACTAATAAAATATGTCTGATAAAATGTTAAATATTTTATCAGTTGACCATTTTTTGATATCTTTCAAAAGAACCGAGATATATCTGATCAAAGTTAAAAAGAAAAATTTAAAAAAAAATCTAGAAAAATAGTTTAGATTCTTACAGTAAGAATTTAAGACGGTTGAAATTTGTATAAGACGGTTGAAATTTGAAGAATTTTTTTCGCATGTATAGAAACATCTCGAATTGATGATTTCATGTACCATTTAGCATTTATTTCAGTTTCACCAGATGTCTGAATTTCCTGTACAAAAATTATGAATATTCCAGAAATTAGTCAAAGTTATAGAAAATGTTTATTTGATGGATCTGAAAATGATCTTGAACAGAAAAATAGGTGGACAAATTAAAATTGGACAGTGTGCACAGTTGGGACAGTAGTAGTAGTTTGCTCAAATCCGGATGACAACCAATCTTCCTGCATTTTAAACTTCTTGATGCTCTGTGCCTTCTTTCCTTCTACAGGTATAGAATCGGTTTGTCTCCCGATTTTGTACTTTTTTAAAGGAAAAAATGGTCAAGTA